AGTAATTCTGTTGAATAATTTCATATTAAGACAGTAATTCTTAAGTTAGTCTAAATGATAAGTCTAATCAGTTTGATATGGTCCAATTGGCAGCTGATCTAAAAAAATTGCCTACAATCTGCTGTTAATTGCTGCAAAAAAAATGGCACATTATTTTTAATACCTCTAAAATGAAACTGCTCTCTTAACTGAGAATCTATTGAGATTTTCCATCAGCATGGCTGATGCTAACCTCCAACAGAGTGACTCATTGATTTCTGCTGACATGATGTAGAAAGTTTATATTCAATCAATTGCTAGGTATGCTGCTAGAAAAGTTGGTTCAATTTGTTGTTTGAGACAATTTTTCCTGCCAGACTATCTTACACATTTGTAAGTCTACAGTCTGCTTGTGCATTGAATATTGCTGTCATATCTGGTCTGGTGTTTTTACTACAAATTTAAATTTTATTTAGAGATTCTTGATAAAATACAAAGAAGAATCTGCAATGTTATCAGTCTTGACCTGGCATCTAGACTTCAGCCACTTTCCCACCACAATTACATTACAATTAACATGAAAATATTTTCATGTTAATTCTTCTGATAAGCTTTCTTCCATGGTACCTAGACTTTATGAATTTAAGTGCAGTACTAGTTTGGCTAAGATGTCTCTTTTTCCAATTGAAATTACAAAATGTATATGTAAGTTCTCTTCTAACAGTTTCTTTTTTTAAGAGTTTCTTTTCTCGCACATCTCACTTGTGGAATTCTCTTATGGCTTCTTGCTTTCCAGTTACCTTCTAACTTCTTAATTCCTGTTCTTTTATGGTTCTCTCTCCTTAATTCGTGCATTGTGATGTAATGAATATCACCTCAGTGAGAACTCAGCGAGCTGAATTTGAACTTCAGTCGAACTCATTCAATTCACTTACGCACAAATACCTTTGGGAAAGATATGAATCCATTTCTTCTCCCCCCCCAGTTATGGGTTGAATAGCAGGACAGACTGGGTTCTTTAACCTTGGTTGGCAACCAGTCTACCATAGAAAGAAATGCCAACCTACTAGAAAAAAAAAAAAACTGCCTCGTCAGTCATGTATCGAAAGATAATTGCCCAAGTGTGTATCCCGTATGGCATTTAACTGACCGACTCCTTAATGTTGTTTTTCTTTTTCTTATATTCTTTTACACTCAGTAATCCTTTGCATCATAGTGGCTTTATTACCTTGCTTGGGGTGAAATAATTTTAAAAAAAATTTTTTACAAAAAATTACATTTTGATGGCAAACAAAACATACTTAAAAGAGAAAACATCATCCTATCATATAAGCAAATATGAGCCGATATGTCATATAAGAAATAAGGTTAAATATTGACATGCAGAATTTCAACATTTAACTTTATCTCAAGTAGATTAAAGTCTTCATCCTGTTCATTGCTCTGAAAAGATTGTGTCCTGCAAACTGTCAAATAGGGCTGTTTGAAAATGATGTGGGGAAAAATAAACCTCAAGGGAGATTTTATTTATTTTTAAACATTGTATATAATATCAGTCCTCCTATATGTCAGTGAATGTTGGAAAATCTCCTCACAAATGAAGAAAAAGGCTTGTGGCAAAATAAATAGGGTTCTGCAGATAAAAGCCAAGAATACTGTGGACTAAATATGTGAGTAATGAGGAATTTTAAGGAAAATAGAAACAAAAGCAAATATGAAGAAACAGGAAAATTTTGTTACAAAGAAAAGAATGTTGAACTGTTATGTAATATCAGTTCTTCTATATGTCAGTTAATGCTGGTCAATATCTGAACAGGATAAGAGACTTGAGACAACAGAAATGTGGTTCTACAGAAGGATGCTGAGAATATCATGGACTGAACATGTGAGCAATGACAAAGTTTTAGAGAAAATGAAAACAAAAATGACACTTATACTTAATGTCAGAAAGAGATAGTTGAAAGGGTGCACAATGAAGAAAGAGGGCTTAGAAAATTTAACACTGACAGGACATATTGAAGGTACCTCTTACAGAGGAAAACAGTGCATAACCTACCCAACAAGTTTAAAAATTTGCTATCCATATTTTCAAAACAGAAATAAGCTTGTTCATTGACAAATAGTCATCTCAAGTTCGAATCTGGCCATCATTAGTAGGTGAACAGATACTAGCCACATCAATGTTCAAGACCACAGGCAGTACCTCTCCTATAGAAAGGGCTGGGGTCATTACTTGGCGCCAAAAAGAAATGCCGATTGGGCTTGTGCAATTTTTTCATATTATTGCTGTTAAGCCCTCTTTAAACTGACCTTGTGCCACATTTGGTAGCATTGAAAAATACACAATATTAAATTGTGGTTTGCATACTGCACACCCAAAAATGGCAATCGTTAATCATAAAAATGACGACTCTTCAATCATTTTGACCTAAATCAATAGGCATCAAGAATTTAGGCAGACTAATTTACAAATGGGAAAATCTAAATAAAATTGAGCGCTGTAGAATGCACAGAAGAAATCTGTGTGGACAGGTGACAGCATCATATCCCTATCATCTGTGAATACAAGAATATACATTTTATTACATAGTAAAAAGAGGGAGCTGGTCTAATGGGTGTATATTCTAGTCTAGCATATTTTATACCCGGGGGTATAAACTGACCCAGCTTATACCTATTACAGTGGTTCTAATAGGTATTTAAGCAAATCCCCAGGACCTGCAGGTGATGATTTCGGTGTCTCTGGGAAGTTCAATGAATCCCAACTAAAGTTTCTTAATAAGTTTTTGTATTAAACTGCTGGGTTACAGAACATTTTTTATCATCATCCCATGTGGTGAATGCACATTTGTACAGAGACAAAAGAGCCAACAAATTGTATGTGGACATGTTTGTCAACACCAGTTATTTCTCCATTAGTAGCAGCACAGCTTGGCATGTCTAGATATGGGCCTCTCTGCAACTGGTCAAGATCCAGGTCTTGTAAAATGCTTCATGCCAATAAAAGCAACAGGAAAACCAGCAGTGAGCACTTGGCAAGACACAATGTCTTATGAAGTCAGTCTCATGGGCATTTTGTTCCTAAAGTTGCTATGGTTTCTGAGTTATTTTTGTTATTGCCTGTCTCTTTTTCTTTGCTGATTACCACTGGAAAAGCAATCGGTTAGGTGTTTCCCCCCAATCTTAGCACACTCTTGCCATACATTACAACATCCCATAAAACAATTTTAATTATGCCAAATCACTTAGATTGACAGAACATTTTTTTAATTAATAAATTCAAAACAAACAGTAACTACACTTAATCACAGTTCAATTAAGAAACTTTTTTTTGAAAATTATGACAGAACAAAGTTTTTAAACTGAGTGAACAAAAGTGTTTTTTTTCAATTGAATCAATATTAAGTAAAAATGTTTTTGAAAAAGAGGACATGAGAAACTTTTACACAAGCCAAATAAGAATGTATTCGAAATGGTTTTACCATAGGAATGCATTAGAAAATAGTGCAAGCATTACTTACCGAACAGTTATATTCAGTAGGAAGAGGAATTATACAAAGAACATATTTCCTGCTATTCCAAATGTTAATTTTGGTGATAACCATATTTGAGTAGATACAGCTTTTCTTTTTTTTTTTTTAAAAACACTCAAACATGGGTATTCACAAAAGTAACATCTCAAATAGTAGGAAATAATGTTGGATAAAAATCCAATGCTTTCTGAGATATATATATATATATATATATATATATAAGTGAGCATTGACGTCAACACTCAGAGGTGACAAGCTGTTTCATGCTGGACCCAATCGTGGCCTGACAATTCCGTCCAGCATGAAACAGCCTGTTGCCTCTGAGTGCTGACTTCAATGTTCACTTTTATATTTATAGTTACACATGCTCTATCTCTGATATTGAGCACTTTATCCCTTGAATATAGCACACCCTAAAACTATATTTCTTCATATATAATTCCTATTATCATTTTGAACATTTTCAGGATCCAAAGTTATGGATTGAAAACAATTCTAACTGCACATCTTGATTAAAATTAAAATAAATAAATGACACTTAGATGCCATATAAAATGCTGGGAAATATTTTTAATCATCAAGATGATTATGTGTATAAAACTGACCTCATTTTTAATCCCATCATTCTACAACCTATCAAAACAGTTAATTTACTGCCTCTAGTCTGAAGAAAATATAAGGAATGGTAATGGTAACATTGTTTCCTTATAAGGAAACACTTAGCATTCACTGACTGAACAGCTACTACTATTTCTTTCAGTTTAATTTTATAAACTATTTCTCTTAAAACAATTTTTTCAGGAAAATTAATTTCTCATGTCCAGTAACTGTTATTGCTCTTTTTAATATTTGATAGGGGTGTCCTTCCTAACTTTTTGCTTGAAGTAGTGTGGAATGTCAACATCATGATTATGTGGTTATATTTCTCTTTACACATGTTATATATCTGAGTTGTTTCTGTCGTTGAAAGTCATGTCATTTCTGTTATTTGGTAAAGTTGTTTGTGATTCTGCAGCACGAGTCCACAAGGTTCGAAAAATGATGGTCTTCACCAAGACCTACAGAATTCATTCACTAAAAGCCATTTTCAATCATTAAACTGAGAAAGTGATTTTATACTGAAGACAGTTTAGATATATATAAGTTTGGTACATCCCCAACATCCATTTGAAAGCCTTGATCTGACAGGGTTACTTTACAAGAGTGGAGTTCTTAGTGAAGCCTATTCTATGGTCAATTTCCTTATCTCCCAAACTAAATTTATTATAACTGATCACTACACCAAGATATTTGAAGTGTTTGTTATTTACTAATTCCACATCCTGAATTTTTATGATAAGATTCAGGGTATGTGGCATCATTGATTTCATTCCAATTCCAGATCATAATTTCTGGTGTTTTTCTAAGCATAGATTGAAAGTATAAGAATTGAACTCACTATTAAAGTTTATCTTGAATCCTACTTCTGGGGGCTTATGGTAATGTCCTATTGAAACACCAATTCTCATACAATCACTGAAGCTAAGCAATGTCGAGCCTGGTCAGTACATAGATGAGTGACCAGTTGGGAATACCAAGTGCTTTAAACTTGGATGTGCCGGTGGTGTAATGGATAATGGCTCAGAATTGGAAATCGGAGAGCTGAATTCCAGTTGGGTTCGTTATATGTACTTATGCACAAATACCCTTGGGAAAGTTATGAATCCAACTCTTCTCCTCCCATCTATGGGTTAATTAGTAGGACTTGCATCAGTAAATCATTATTATCTCCAAAACATTTTTATGATATAAAAATATTTTCTAGCTTTAAATAACCTGCCAAACAATTGATAAACTGTAAAAAACAAATCAATCATTCAAATTTAACCATTTAATCACACCTCAATAGAACTTTGAAGAATGATGAACAATAATTGGTCATCTTTGTTTTATTTTTATGATTTTGATTTCTTTTATAACTTTTTTTCTTGCTTGTTGTTTTCTCATTATAGTGTTTTTAATAATGTCCCTTTTGACTGCAATAATATAAGGTTCAGTCATGAAAATTTCTGTTTTTGTTTCTAAATTTTATGCTTCAATAATAAAGTACAATTACATTTAATTTGATTATATATTCATCATTATTTGCAATGACTTGTAACCACTTATCAGGTACTTCATTGGTAACATTTAAGTAAAATTCTGTGGGCTTTGATGTGAAAGTTTTTGATGATCTCTTCAATCTGGTTTTCATTAAATTTTTCCTCTTCAAAGCATTTTGCAGCAATTGAAAAAAGGTAATAATCAGTTTGTGTATGGTCAGGTGAATATGGCGAATGGGGTAGAACAGACCAACCAAGTCCCAAAATTTTATTCCTGCATTATTCTTGCTGTATGTGTTCTTGATTTGTCATGATGAACAATGTTCCTACTGATGAGCACAATTTATATGCACATTGCAGCTGGAAGGATAAATGTCTATTTTAGTGTTTCACTGCATTTTCAGAACCCTAAATGAATAATACTCAGATGATCCCACCACATATATAATGTTAACTTTCTTCCACAGAGACCAGGTTTTAGGATAGATTGTGGAGATTTATCATAGAGAAGGTAGCTCAAATCTTAGAGTAATTCTCCACAACCTACACTAAAAACTGAGCTTTATGGAAGAAAGGTAATAATGTGTGTGGTGGGATTGACAGGGTATTATTTATTTAAAATTCTTGAAAGTCACTGAAATTCTAAATGCACATTTATATGTCCAGCAGTTGCAATGTGTCTACAAATATTATTTCCCAAAATTCTTTTCCCTATTTCTCATGAGTGGATCACTCTACTTAAGTAGTGTCAAAGAACATTTCTTCATTTTCAAAAGATGTGAAAAGACATTGAAAAGATGTGGAAAAACATTGAAAAGATGTGGAAAAACATTTAAAATTTGAATTCTTTGATGAATCCTAATTCTTCTTAAGTTAATGATTGAATAAGCTCCTTGTGAGTTCTTGACTATAAAATAACTGGAAATTCTATTATTGCCTTGTTAAAGATATGAACAACTTAAAAAAATTATTGCAGTAACAGCTGTAAGTATGAATTCGGATCATTATTTAAAGAAGTAAGAGGGTACAAATAAAAAGTTTTTCTATCTCACTGAAACAAACGTTAAGCACATGAATGTTAACATGTTCTTTCTTTTTCTCAATGAAACCAAATAGCATCATTGATATGTCTTTTCCATCATTCCTCACAATCAAAATGGAATAGTCCATTATTTATTAAGTATTAGCAGAGGTTAATGAACTTTTATAACTATGATTGATTTGGTTTTTATGGCTTATTAACCATTTGAAGTTAAGAAGCGTAGAGCCAGTAATTAAATGAGGTGGGGCATTTTGGAACACGGGATACTGTAAGTGATCTTCTACAATCTAAGATATGTTTCAGCTTTAAATAATCCACAAAGGGTTGATAGGCTGTAAAAAAACAATCCTGGTGGGTTATTTAAAGCAGAAACATTTTTTTAAATTGTAAGAATAATTCTTTTTTGTGAGGAATTATTGCATTAATAATTTTTTTTGCAAATAGCAATGATTTTTCCAGATATAAAAAACTACTATTTAACCCATAACTGGGGGATGCAATTAATTCATACCATTCACAAAGATATCTGTGAATGCAACAAACCAGATTGGAATTTGAACTTGGCTCTCAGATCTCATATTCCTAAAGTTTATTCATTATGCCATCCAAGCATTTGAACTAAGAACAAACAGAATCATAATATGGTAATATACTGTGACAGAAAAGAAATTACCATTCCAAAAAGAAAATTTTTCTATTGAAATCAAAATCATAATTTGGCAAACATGGACTTTCATGATTGCAAAAAACTAGAGTGTCAAAAGTATGTTTTTTTTCCATTGACACTGCTATTATTTTAACTACGTTCACTCCTTGGAAATGTTTGTTTTAAAATTAGATTAGAATTGTAATAAAACCTAAACAAATAAGGAAAGTGAATTTATACATTTTCTTCGTTTTTGAGAGTTAGCTACAAATATTATTAAACACTATTAGATAACAAGAATAATTTTTCATGTACAACATTCTAAAAACTAATACAGTTAAAATTAATGCAATATTTGTCATTTACCAATATATAAGAAAATAAAAATGAAACCAATTTTTTGTTCATAAATCTATGAACATTTACTAAATTAGTTAATTTACTAAATTATTAAAATATGCGCACTAACTATAAGTTTATTTTACCATTTTATACAGTTTGAATGTGTTGCCAATTGGCACATGTTTTGCCAACCATTCCAATAAATAATCTGTTATAGTCCGGTTCCTTGTACCCCGGGTGATATTCCAGGGTAGAACTAATAAAGAAGAACTCGCACATGGATATGGAATAACACAGATATATTACAAACAGGAATATATACAGAGAAGTAGAAAGTGTTAGTACGAACAATCAGGTTTAGTAGGGAGAACAATGTAGTCTCGACCAGTATCACTATTCCAATGTCTTGTAGTAATTGTCTGAATGCGACTGTTTCGGACTGCCTCTGACTCGAGTGACAGACTCGCTCACTCTGACTGACTGACAGACTCCTGACGGACCTCACTCCAGACTGAACTCCCTGCTTCCTCTTGAGGCACAGTATTTATTATGTATGGAATAGTCCATTATGTTATTATGGGTAAGGTCTCATAACACAATCTAATAGTGTTTAATATTTTTGTTGTCAATTATCAAGAACAAATAAAATATATAAATTGACTTTCCTATGTTTAAGTTTTATCACAATTGTAATCATCGCTTTTTAAAACAATAAAAACTGCTGAGGAATGAAGTTAATTAAAACAATAGTGGTGTCAATAGAAAACCGTCATTTTGACATTCTATTTTTTTGCAGACAGATCCAAGTTTGTCCATAATTTCATGTAGACAGATTGGTATTTTTGACAATTACCAAAAAGATGACAAGAATAGGTTGCATGACAGCAATCAAAGCTTTGTAAGGTTCCATTGCTTAAGATATTGAAAAAAAAAAAAAAAATAGGACAGTATTTCAGAAACATGTAACTTTCTACTGCAAGAAAGATTTTTTTTTTTTTTTATCATTTGGAATGTCTCAAGATATCTTTCTTTCACTGACATTCTTTGTAGTTTCTTTGTCAGGTTCTCTCTGTACATTTCTTATTCCACAATACATTATAACTTCTATGTTACTAGTTGTAGCAGATTACATTGTAATTTGATAAAACAACGCACATAATGCAATGGCGAATGAAGATGACACAAAGAATGTCCTGAAATCATTAAAAGCTAACAAGCAAGCACTAAATTAACTTAAACATTTTATAAAATTTTTCATTGTCCAATATTCAAATTACAAATTAGAGATACCAAAATTAAACAAGTACAATAATTTAAATATCTAGGATGTGTTTTAATAGAGAGAGGGAAATTTGACACTGAAAGTGCGCTGGGATAGTGAAAGATACCTTCCAAAAGGCTAAGAAAAGTATTAAAAAAACAGGAAACATTTGTTAGAAACATACAAAAAGTATTGAATTGTTATATAATATTGGTCCTCCTATATAGCAGTAAATGCCAGACAATCTCATCATAGATGCAGAAGAGATTTGAAGCAACAAAAATGTAGTTGTACATAAGGATGCTGAGAATACAATGGACTTGAACATTTTAACTGATAAATATAGCAACATCAATGCATGGAAGGTTATTCGTGAGTTTGAACACATTGTTAAAAATTAGCAGACATAATGTCTGTAATTTATTCAATTAGACATGCCTAAAAGAGAATTTTCTTCCTAAATAAACATATATATATATATATATATATATATGGTCCAATGGATAAATTGTCATCTAAATTATGCAAAAATTAAAGTAACACTGACATCTCATTTAAACAGATATATTAACCAAAATTACTCAAAAATATCTTGAAATATTAAAGAGTAAATTTATCCAATAAAATCACCATTCAAACAATGCCTCCAGACAACTTTGGAATCTTCTGCAACTCTTCTGGATACGGTCTCCTTGTTTAAGTTGGTGAATAATGCCATAATCCTTGCCTTCAGTTCATCGTTGGTGTTATAAGGAGTTTTGTTAGCCTCTCGCTCAATTGCACCCTACGCATAATAATCAAGGGTGTTGCAGTCTGGGGAGTTAGGGGGTCAGATGTAAGGGGTGATGTCACAGAAATTGTCTGACAGCAAAGACAGGGTTCTCCTGCTTTGTGTGGCATGGTGGAGACTCCTGTTGACAGACATAAGGTCTTCCAGCAGCCACCCCCTTGACCAAGGGCCGCACTACCTATTCGAGTTATTTGATTCAGGTCTCCGGGTTGAGTCTCAGGCCCTCACCAATAAATTCAGGAGTTATTTTCTTATCAGAATGATCAAAATGAGATTTCCAAGCTGCCGTACCTTTATAATCACCATTAGATGCATCCAACTCTTTCCGAATCCTGTGCACTGTCCTTGACACCCAAACATTGTGAAAAGTTAATATTGAAGCTTCTGGTGTGAAGACTTGCAGACTGAAATCCACTACGG